CAGACAGACACACACACTCACACACACACAGACACACACACTCACACACACTCACTGTATGTTATACTCTCTCAGTACACAGCCTTAGAGCAGCAAGGAGTAGCTGTAAAGGAGGAACTGGAAAGAAGAGTGGCTGAACTGGAGAAGAAACTGGTAGAGCAGGAGAGTTCAGGAGACACTGCAGCTGAGGTGAGGAGTCACATGTACACACACACATAGTCATGCACAAGGGAAACAATTGAAATGAGGATGCAGTTTTCCATCTTTCATGAGAAGACTGTAACTTAGTCACTGTGAAAGTGAATAACAAAAATGATCAGTGGTAACACATTTCCTCCTCAAGATGTCAGTGTATTTTGTGGCCAACTGATTTTCATTTTGAAATGAGAACCAACATCTACTATCAACCACCATTTATAAACATGGGAAACAAAACGGGTAATTTTACCGTTTGATATTTTATTTTCAAAACAAAGAAACGAATAAGGGGTTGTTTATTTGTTTTCTGTGTATCTGACACAGTTGAAACACAATCGGAATATGATGTTGATATTTCCAATGAAATAACATAATTAATATGATGAACGTTCCTTCATAAATGTAGGATTTATTTAAGTTCTTTTCTTGGACTGCATTAGGATAGGTATTCCTATTATAGTATTTCAGATAGCGTTTTAAGCACTATTTTATAACAAAAAGATCTATAAATCTATGAAAATAATTCTTTGTAATTTTGACAGCCTTGTAAACAAAAGCAACATATTATGTAAATTCAAGCATTTTAACAACAAATCTTTTTTTTCAGTTAAAGAGTTTTAAAATTATTTATGTCATGAGCTTTCTATTGGCAGGGTATTCATTTATTTGTTCATGTTTTGTTGCCAAAAAGTTGAAAACCAATGCACAAGCAGTGAAAGTGAGGACAGTTGTGTCTTGTGTACTTGCAGGTGAAACGTGTGATGAACGGAGTGTTTCATTCTCTGCGAGGAGAGTTTGACCTGAGTGAATCTTACAGTGGCCAGGCTGTGCTGGGGGTGATTGTCACTACCATTAAGGTGAGTACTTTTGCCAAGAAATGCCAAAGCAGCCTTTCTGTGACAGTAGAAGTGTCAGGCAATAAAATACATTAGATTAATGGCATGTTTAGCAAATGGACAAAATAATAGAGATATATGGATGGAAAAAGGTGTTCAATTCAGCCTTTCTAAGCCCCGCCCCTTTTTGCTCTGCTCAAATAACAGTTGAGCAAACTTTCTCCTTTCCTGATATGTTATGTGATAGGCTCATCTTTATTGAAAAGACAAACACATTTTAAAGAGGTTTAAAAGATAAGTGACATTTTAAAAATGTTTGCTAACTAGCAAGACGTAACTAAGCTAGATTGTGAGCTAGCGTTTTCAAATGTAACTAGCTAGCTAAAGACTGATGTAAACTTCCTAGTTAGCTAGCATTTTGATAGCATTAGCTAGCTAACTTAAGATATGACTACACTGATCAGCCATAACATAATGTATGGGCATTGTGGGGATTTGAGTGACTTTGACTAGAGCCAAATGGTGATGTGTGTGTCACATTTATCTTTTCCCCAGTTGACCAAGGTTATTATTACCAAGGCTTGCTCCACTGTTATTGGAGCACAGAGCAAAAAGGGGCGGGACTTATGAAGGGTTAATTCACATATATTTAGTGGTATATATCACGTTATGCAGTTGTAAACCAAGTGTTGTCAGCTTTAAATAATGTTTACCTATGAAGTTGACGACATTTGATTTTGCCCAACAAAACACAAGTGGCAAGCATATTTTTTGTTTCCAGAATGTAACCCTGCAGCTGCTCAGTGGCACAGACAGGTCTTCACTGAAATCGAGTAAGAATGAAGAGAAAGCAGAGGAAGAGGAGGAAGAAGAAAGTGATGATGTGAAACAAAGAGAGGAGAGAGAGGAGAAACCTCATCAGAATGTACATGTGAATGGAGAGAGAGAAGTCAAAGAGGAAGAACAACATGTTGCTGAATTGGCTTCTCACCAAGTTGGTGAGACTCAGATGGATCAGGAAGAAGCAGCAGAGAAGGAGTTGAAGACACAAAGCCAGGTAGAGGGATTGGCGGCCACTGATCTTCATCCAGTTTCATCCACTGAATCGAAACCGCTGGAGACCAAAGCAGAGGCGGAAGTACAGTCGAAGCAGGCAGAACACTCTGGTCCTGACTCCTCTACAGAGGCTGAAGTACAGTCGAAGCAGGCAGAACACTCTGGTCCTGACTCCTCTACAGAGGAAGAAGACACCAAGAAGTCTGCAGATCCAGATGATAAACCTGATGAGAGCTCACCACCTGAGGATGCACAGGAACCCGTGTCAGAAAGTAGTGCTGCAGTGAGCGGTGGCGTGGACAAGGAGAGTGTGGATGATGGAGAGCAGGTAGGAGAAATGAATGCCACTTCTCAGAAAGCCTTTGGACCCCCAGCCAACCCACCTCCACCCCCGAATGCACTTCAGAACAGCTCAGGAGAGGACACAAGGTGAGTCCTGCCCTGAATGCTCTCTATATTAGGTTATTATTGGTCAACCAAATGGTTGTCTGGAAATACATTTGAACTATTTTCTCCAAAATCTTCTCTAATAAAATCATCAGTCAAAACCAATTATAGAACCAGACTTTCTATTAATCCTTTTAATCCTGTTTCTATAATTGGCAGTGTTGCATACCAACATACAACATCATAAACAGGGCATAGAAAACAAGTCAGTGCTGGTCCAGTATCAACTTGTACAGTGTGATGTAGAAACTTGAAGCCACCAGTGCACATCCACTGAGAATGGACTTTACAGTGAAGGAGGAGACA